TATGCAGACACAATAAACAGGGTGCGATGAACCTCACTTTCTCTAGTTTCTCTCAGAGATGTTGCCAAACGAACCGCACAGAGGCTACTGTCAACGGGTATCCAATCAAGCAGAGACGCTTCCGCTCGTTCGCTCAATACAATACCCACCCCAGCATATCCAGCTGCAGCGGCCTCTGCATCACCAGAGGTGCGCAGCCGAAACCTGGAGGAAACCGGGAGTAGCGAGCAGATCGTTTTGTTCTCTCTTTGTTGAAGGACTCGAATGCAAAACAGAGGCGAAGGACGCAAATATCAGTGCACAAACGGGTGTATCTTCGAGGCCATCTATAAAATTTTACTTTCAAACAACCCGGTCGGCACAGAGACAGATATACAGGTCGATATTTGTTCTTGTGGCTTGTCTTGGCCAATCTCTGTCGGTGAAATACTGTTTCACTGATGACACTGATCGAACGGTCTTAGCAGGTCCTTTAATGAGCATTGTTCAGCCATGAGTAGCTAATCAACATGTTTAATTCGCACCTGGAACAATTGAAGCATCACCCATCCCTTGGGATTCAGCTCCCGCGGTCATGTGCTTACTGGATTTGTCTTCCTGTTTGAGCGTTATTTTTCTGCATCGTAGCTATTGTTGGTTCCAGCAGAACCGCCATCATTTACATACGTTTGTGGATCTGTCTGACCGCCGAATGAATGACAGTTCATTCCGAGGCCGTTTTCAAGGTATAGACTGTGCTTTTTGCTCACGTGTTTGTCTTTTCTTATTCAGCTTTCGTGTATGGCATCCCTTGACCAGGGTGACGGTGCAAATCCACAGACTCCGCGAGCTGCCCAGATTAGTTCTCACGAAGCCTTGATAAGTCGGTTGGCTGAGAAACAAGCACAACTAAAGGCAGCGAAACTTTCTCGAATTCAGAAACAAAAGGATGCTCCAGGCGTAGGGTTCGAAAGGAGCTATGATTTCCTTCCCCGATTCCAAGAGATCAAGGCCGGCATTCTTTCAGACCTTGACAAAGCTGCTGACCAGCTATCCAACGGATCGATATCTACAAGCGAAGTAACCAGGGTGAGTCGGTTAAATCGTCACTGACTTTATTCGTATCTTGGACTCACAGGTATGAACCTGTTCTACTGAATATTCTACTTTGTTGTCTTTTCGGTACATACCTGTCTAGACAGCACGAGGCTTTGTACACTTCAGATTTTCGGGTTTGGACTCTATTATTCGAGGTTCCTGTCGACGGACTTTCTCCGCAGACCCTGGAAGTATGTCTTTCTGTTTGGCGAAATCCTACCAAAATGACCAGCTCACCGTTCATGATTAGACTCTACTACTGTCAGTAAGCCGACTGTTCGGAAGATCAAGTCTGTCTGCCTGTCCTATATCAAGCCGAGCTCTGTTTGGTCGAAAATGTGGACTCAACAGCCAATCATGTATCAGTATCCGCTGAAAGACGGTTGCCAGTGCCGCTTCCAGACGGTGCCCGAATTTCGAGATGCGACACGCGGTACTTGCTTTTTTTTTACCTTGTTTCGGGCGTTAATACACTTGTGCACCTACTGCGCGTTCTCCGGATGAGAACACCTGGGTGGATCAGACCGAGCTGAGGCATGTCGTTATTATACTATCACAACGATGCCTACGACAGAACAAGTAAAGCTGTGCGCCGAAACTGAGGCATAAGGTCACTTACCTTTCCTTCCTCCCATGGTATTGTTTTTGTTGTTGAATGCTTGATGGCAATCTCAATGTCTTCTCTAGGATCGCCTTCATGCGAGTACACGAGGTCCAAGGGAGACAGCATGATTACATTTATAGAGAGATGGCACTGCGTCAGTCACTTTCATCTGCTGAAGACTGAAAAAAATGGGTTCGTTTTGTTATATGGTTTACCCCTCGCAACATCCTCTCTTGGAGATCAGATCCCGATTGTCCGAATCGATTCGTTGTTTGCGGTTGTCATCCCCTCGGCTGATTGTTCTTGACCATCTGTTTTCCCTTTTTTGTCCTGGGACCAACTATGTTGGATGTTACGGGGAGAATGCCACGTTTGAGACAGGATGGTTAGCGCCATCCGGATCAGTAATCCAGCTACTCGTGTTTATGCGATTACCTCGTTAATGACTGTTGTGTGGGTTTTGCTTCGTATTGCGATGTGCCCTGAACAGTTGATGGCCAATGTATTTGCACGTTTTAATCCGTACCCGCTTCGACGTTACTCATGTTGAAACTGATTTGATACGGAGAAGATTAGTATGGCCTAGGGTAAGAATAGGAGGCAAAATACTGAAGGCCCTCCATATTTTTGTGCTCGAGATAGCTCCTTGGTTCGAACCCGACCTCTGCATCTCGACCACTCCTGTCTACACTGAGGCAACCTAGCTGTATCCAAGCCCTTGAGCCTTCTTCAGGTGGCATAACAGCTAGGCACCGAGAAGGGATTACAGCTGAACGATAATAATACTAGTAATAAACATTTAAGCCCTTTTTATTTGACACGCTGCATGTGTCTTCGTGGACTGATGGTCAAGATAACTGCACAGCAGCTTCGCCAAGATGAAATGTCTCCACAAGCCTAATTCTCACTTCGTTGTAGTCATAATAACCCTATAGGCGTACCTGTATGGACGCCAATTTAGTTTGCATCAACTGTCTTCCCTCCTCAGTAGTGTATTACGTCTATACTATGTATCGCGATATCTCGAATATCGTACCAACTGAAACATGAGGTGGCTTGGTGCAGCACATTCAGTTCTCTTAAAAACGTCGTGAACGAGAGATTCAGCTGGGTTCCAGTTGAGTCTCTCGCAAAACCAAATTTGTTTTCAAACGAGCGTATTTCGCTGTACCCTAATTTACTCTTAATAAACTCAAATCAGCACTGTCGGTTTGCTAATTTGTTGCTTCCGCAATGTGCTTTGTAGATTTTGGACGAAGCTGTGGGCCGTATCGAGGAACTTCAGAAGTCTCTGAACGACGCCTCTCTCTATCTGACTTCTTTTGACTCCGAGCAGGCGCGGTTAGAACTAAAGGTAAGTGCAATTCGTGACCAATGCTTTCTACCTTCCCTTCGTTCGGATTCTTGCTCCAGTCTTTT